TATTTATTTATTTACTCTTTATTGTACACCAATATAGACATAAATAATAAGAGAAAAAGAAAGGAAAATGTACAAATAGGCGGCCTTATCGCTAAAACAGCGATCTCTTCCAGGCAACCTTTGGTAGAGGAGAGAGATAGAATGGTAGGGGTGTACAAATTACTGAATACATAAAAAATAGATATAATATATAGGTATATATACGATACATAAATAAATATTCCATAAATATATACTATATAATAATATAATATACATACACATTATAGATATTACAATTAATAGAATTATAAGTGATGATTTATAAAAGATTTGGCTATTCGCTCGTTCTTCAAGCCTGACGCGTCGCTAAATTGCCGCTTAATTACAATAACGACTACCAATACGCGAGGATTCTTCAATTAAATATACATGTTCCACTTGTTATTCGCCCTTTTGTTTCATTATCTTTCAATATATAACATAAAAATAAAAAAAAATCATTACGTTTAGGAGGCTTTTTACAAATTTACATAAACACTAAAACAATAAGAATCATAAGTTTCATTTATTTAATTTATGTTAAATTTTAATGAATTCCTTTTAACGCATTAACGTGATTGACAATAGAATTTACGTAAAATATCAATATAAATCTGTTCGATTATTTTTATACTTAGAACCCAGAATTGTTACGTAATTTATTGATAACATATTTATTTATAGATATTTAATTACCTAGTTCGTTCGGCAAGCATTAATAATAATTATCCGTTCAGCTTTGTGGGAATCCCTACTGATAACTGTTATCACAAACCACCTCATCTGTGTCCCTGTATAAAGCTGATTGGTATTTTCTGTTGTTATTAGTCTACAATATGATTGCCAATCAAACAAAGCCACAAAATTACTGACTATTCTTCATGAAAAGAAAGAATCCCAGATTCGAGATTATTAAAACATCTCTTAAGGATCAAATTAATCGGAAAAATGTTAGTTCAAAACCGAGTATTAGTCCTGACTGCAGTTGTTAAGCATCCTTTAAATATTTGTACATTCAGGTAAAATATATCGGGAATAAGATAAACAATAGTCATACTCAGTTTATCTCAAAAACAAATCTTGTAGAACTACTTAAAATAAACATATCTTATTTGGCACTACCATTTTTGGAAAATTAATTTGATATTCTCGATAATCGTGAGCTGCCCTACTCGCATTGTGTAGTACTTAGTGGTAGGCTTACATTGAACGCATTGAGGGCTATCACTGGAATATTGCCAATGCATGACACGTATCAGTTTATATGGGATAAGCTGCATATTATTCAAATAATATTATAGATTTGAAGGGTTTTCGTAAACGCGAACCATCTGGATTCTTTTATAGAAATATTTAACGCATCTTTTGAAGAGCTTACAGATTTTATTTTCCTGCATTGAGTAGGTAATGCGAAAGTTACATTCGCAAACTATTCAATCATTTCAGCTTTGCGTTGGACATGTTAAAATGAATTATTGATTTATTTCGTTGAATATCAGGTAAAAATATTAGTTAGCTCAAATTTATCTTTTTCAAACACCCATTCGCACACATACGAAAGAACTTGTTTTGTTGTGACAGTATTGTTATCTACGGCTCAATTTTACGCCGAACGAATAATGATAATACGAGGTCGTAAACAATAGTGTGATGCTTAATTGATAATAGTTTCCAGAATAACTTAATATACTACAGCCTGTTTTAGACAAATTTTGTTTACGAATAATTCCTTTGAGTAACTCATTTGCCAAACGAGTTGGTTCTGTACTAGCTTACGTACATTTAAATATTGAGGTTCTTGTTTAACCAGATCAAAATTATATGATTTATGCTGTAGTAGTTGACTGGATTAGGGATTAGCTGAATTCGCACCACGTAAAGTGGTATAATCAGGTGGATGTCAACTCATTACCGCTTGCTGATTTAATGTGCAATCTTCCAGGATTTATCGATCTGTTGTTGGGCGCTCAACTAATTTCCGTATTTAGCGAATTTTTTATGAGTTTGTTATAAACTAGAGTTTCAATTCGTCTCTTTCAATTTAACGCTTAATGTGGAAAATGACTCCATCTCACTCATCTTACTTTGGTTCTAGGTTGGAAAAGAATCCCAACCCATCTTTACCGATAATTCCAATTTATAAGGAATTACAAACTGTTCTTATTAAAATACATTGACGTCATGTGACAATTCTGTCTTCCGATCCTCATCCTGAACTTAATAGTCTAGCTCACTTCTTGATCTCATTTTTATTGCAGTAATAATGATATGCCGATATGCCAGGTCAGAGAGTTAGTCTTACAAAGCGTAAGCAGTTGTTAGAAAGCTTGATGCAATCGTTCTGGTAAAAATGGCACCTTGAGTATCTGGATATGATACAAGTGAGTCAAAAATACTCACCTCCGAGGAATCCCGTAGTAATGAAAACTGTCGTGCTCTTTGGACACAAGAATTCTGATTTTCTAAGTAGGCTTTTAAGGTTTATAAAGGTGGTTTTAGACATATAACTAACTTAGCTCGTATAAAAATGATTAAAACTGAGTTCAGTAACTTCAAACAGGCTAACTTTAAATTGTATATTATCCCAACGCAGTAAAAATTAATAATTTCCTCCCACATTCCGTTTAGTAACTAAACTTAATTTTTTTTCTCCCATTCACTCATAAAACTTAGATAATTTTTAGTTTTTGCGTATGATTACGTAGATCAGTATTTCTGTTTAATACTTAATTAGAAAGCACTGGCGTCCTTCCAAGTGGAGAGCATATCGAAACGCCAATACCTTTCATGTTTATATTAAATACTAGCTTTTGCCGCGGCTTCGTCCGCGTGGAATAGTTACTTCCGACAGATTTTTGGTTCTTCCTACATAGTTCCCGTTCTTGCGGGGTTTTCGGAGTGGTCGAGTTCCCGTAGAATTTTCAGGATGAAACCTATGTTTTTTTTAATTAATAATGAAGTACTCTTAACCAACAACATATTTATTTGTTTATATGAATAAAGATTAATATTATTATTTTGATACAACTTAAACAAATTATTTCGACAAAATTAGGTACCATAAAAACGGTTTTTGTGAGTTAATCTTAAAAGATAGACATATACTGTCGCGGACTGTTTTTTAGATCATTAAAAGAGCTACTATTCTTTAGTACATATTTTTTGTGTATCTTGAACCGTTTTCACGGCGCACGCAACGGAAGGCTTCAAAGATGAAATAATTTCTCCCGTTTTTTACACATTTACCACTATATCTTTGCTCCTATTTGTCGTAGCGTGATGTTATATAGCCCACAGCCTTCCTCGATAACTGGACTATCCAACACAAAAAGAATTATTCAATTCGAACCAGTAGTTTCGGAGATTAGCGCTTTCAAACAAACAAACAAACAAACAAACAAACAAACAAACAAACTCTTCAGCTTTATAATATTAGTATAGATTTACTTTAAATTCTATTTAAGGTTTTTCCACATTAAATAAATTTTAATAATATATAAGTGATTGAAAACTTTATAATCAATATTGATATTCAATGATTGCTTTCTCAGATAATTAAAAGCACTGAGGATTAGGTCTGAAGTAAGGCACAACCGGATTTAAAGATGGTCCTAATTTTTTCCTTTTCTTTTGCTCTCGATATCATTATTTTTTTTGTTGGTGATGGCTTTAATTTTCTGTTGGAATGTGTGAGCCCTATAGTGTAGACGTAACTAGCGATTGATCATATGTTAAAATTTTATAAGTGGAGCTTCACTTTACTGGATTTATTGGGATTTGGTTTTCTTCCGACTGTTCCTTTAGCCTGACTCGTAAACGCAAGATGCTTCAGATTCAGATACGTGTTATAAATTTCTGCTCAAATACCATAACTACTAAAGATAAGAGAAAATTCATCAATTAGATACAGATTTCTTAGATTCCCCTTTTTGTTTCATGAATTAAGTATATTTTTTTATATCATTAAACACTAATCCATCTATGATTTTAATAAAACCCTTTTATCAAAATTAAGTGCAGGCGTCATAAAGAAATTGAAGTTGTGGCTCGGGCACTTGCTAACAGCTGATTCATCGGCGTTATTCAGGGATCGCAATAGTTTTGGGATGAATCTAAAATGGCCATCGGAGCTTTATAAACACCTAAGACTTTCCCAGAGATATATCCTGGGAAAATCCCATGATGATGTCGCTCCCAAAAGACAAAGATGCCCCAGAACTAGTGCCACGACTTCAGTTCCATAAGCAATTTATGATAGGAGCACAAAGGAACAGAGGGTTAGTGTTAGGACCAAGTAAGAAAGTCCAAGATACGAATATATTGAAGTCTTTTATTCAGCAATATGAGAACGATAAATATAAAGGCAGGACTAGTAGGCCTCTTTTCAAATTTGGTTATGTACAGAGAGGAGCTTGGACAGAGGAAGTGAGCGTTTAACGCGGGTTAGATATAAGAGCCCTTCAAACTTACACCTGGGTTGCAAAACCCAGGCACTGTAGAAGCTCCTCTCCCTGCAACATGATGGACCCGGCACCACAAGAGATTTCGTCTCTTAACAAACAAAAACTGTTTTTTAATCATTGCTACTATTTCATATTTAATAAATTCCAATTGTTTTAAGTAATTAAAGAACAGAAATTTTCAATTATTGTATAGTTACGTAATTATTTATTGTTTCAGTTTTTTTAATTTATTATTTACAATAATGTTATGTTCAGTCGAATTTTTAATCTTTGTCAAATTTTCACTACTTTAAACTGTTTACAAAATAAATGAACTGTCACCATTGTAACACCGACAACCTTTGACAGCAACGATTACTTCAAAGTTCAATATCGTAGAGTGTTGTGTGTGACAAAACTTACAAATCTAATTTGTACCTCTTACAAATTATATTAACGAGATCTATTTATAAGATTGTGTTAAAGTAACACAAGGTTGAGTAAAAGTAGTAACTTTATTAGACATTTATAAGTAAAATGGCAGAAGAATTAAAACCTGTTAAAGACGAAGACCTAAAACAACTCAAAGAACGTATGCAATTAATTGCTGAGGCAGATCCATCACAATTCCATAATGATTATTCCTTGAAGAGATACTTAAGGGCTTTCAAAACTGTGGATAATGCATTTCAGGTAAAAAAATATATTTTTTGTTATAAATATTTCTATACACGTCTTTATCATCTTCATATAGATAATCCAAAATTATAGGCTATTTTAAAAAGTAACAAATGGAGAGTTGAATACGGTGTAGCCAATTTGCATGAAAACCATGAATTAATTGAGAAATATTCTAATCGAGCTAGAGTTCTTCGTCATAGAGATATGATTGGGAGACCAATTGTGTACATTCCTGCCAAAAACCACAGCTCCAGTGATAGAAGTATTGATGAACTTACAAAGTTTATTGTCTACTGCTTGGTAAGTACAAAATATTAAGTTAAACAACATATTTCCAGTTATTTGTATGTAATACTAATAATAATTATTTTGATACAGGAAGATGCAAGCAAGAAATGTTTTGAGGAAGTTATTGACAATCTATGTATTGTTTTTGACCTTAATAATTTCACATTATCCTGCATGGACTACCAAGTTTTAAAAAATCTTATCTGGCTACTCAGCCGGCATTATCCAGAAAGACTTGGAGTTTGCCTCATTATAAATGCACCAACTTTTTTCTCTGGCTGCTGGGCCATTATAAAAGGATGGTAAGAAAAATATATCTTTCCAAATTCTATTCTATCAGTTAAAATATTAGACACAAAAATTTAATCTTGTCTTTCTATGAGAAATTTTAATAAATGGAACTAACATTTAATATAATAAATATATTTTTAGGCTGGATGAAAATACCGCAGGCAAAGTTACTTTTGTCAACTCGGAAATGGATCTTTGTCAGTATTTGATACCTGATATATTACCAACGGATATGTAACATAAGAAAACTTAACCTACCTGTAACTAAATAGTTAGTGCTAGTCATTTTAACTTATACAATATTAGTAAATATAAACTGATCATCTTATATGTATAACAATCTGTTATTATAGTTGATTCCTATTATTGACATACTACATTTTATTACAAAATTCATGATACTAATTTTGTTAATTATAATTTGATATACATATTTTTTTGTCTGTTATCCTAAAAACAAATTCATTACAGTATGTAGTCGCCATATTTGTTTATACAAGTAGAAAAAGGGTAAGATTTTTGAATAGATATCTTAAACAATTGCCTAATTATCATGCAAATACCAAAGACATTCCACACACCTCAATATTATAATAAAATATTGTTTGAATTTAATTGTCACATATGATAATATGCTTAGCATATGTTTGCATTGTCACACGACATACTAAGTGCCTTTCAGTGCCCACTACTCGGCAAAGGCCTCTTCTCACATCGAGAAGATTAGAGCATTAATCACCACACTTGCATAAGGCAGAATGTTGATTTATAACTTACAATTTGAAATTATAAGACCAGGTTTCCTAATGATGTCTGTTGGTGCTGTCTGAATACACTTAGAAAGTACATAAAAAAAATGTTATTTATTATTATTTACTTGGTACTTGCCAGATTTTGAACCCACACCCTCATGCATGAGAGGCAGGACTTTAATCTCTAAGCCTTTGACTTTCTCATACAATAACCTTGATTACAAAGATTTGTCAATGAAAACTTATAAACACGTATTTTGTGTTACAATGTAAATTTAAGCTAAGCATATTCTGATTATATCATATTCTGGTCATAAAAAGAAATTTCTTGCCATTCTAGATTAAGTACAAAATGTATTGATGTTATTTTGTTGTTTTTTAAATGTTGTAATTAGTTCATATATGAATTTTAATGTCTTTGAATACTGTAGATTTAATAGTAAAAAATATATAAATATCAGGACAGAGGCAAATTAAAATGCACTTTATTCTAGTTAAGATAAGCAACAAAATATAAGAAAAATAAGTGAAATTCAAAGATTAATTTAATAATAATTAATCATTTTCCATGAATTGGACTAACAATAAATAGTAATTCTTAAATTAAATTCATTAGCCAATAGCATTCATTTAAGTTTTTTTCTTGACATAATTCCATACAATACAATTTATTAAATAAGTATAATCTTGAATGAATCAAGATAAATATGAATGAGATTATGATTTTTATTGAATATAATTTATAATCTCATTGTTTACTGAAAAATCTAAACATTCCTATAACTCAAAACTGACACCAACTAAACTTAGTGAGATTAAGTTATAAAACTTAAGCTATTTTGTTAATGATCAAAATATCTTAATAAAATGTTTCTATATTTTAAATATTTTAATGTTAATAATTTAAGATATATTATATGTACTTATATGAATGTGAGAAACTGTGAAGAAATAAAAAATATAAAACAGGGTAACCCAAAATGTGTTTGAATGTTTACTAACTTTGAAAAAAATATGTTTTTTTGTAGTTTCAGTTAGTTATGTATATCTATGGATATAGGTAAATAGTATTTTTATACGTAAATGTTTATTGGTGACACATTTTTTTATAATTTAATAGTTTTTAAACACTTCTAGAAAAGACAATTTTCTAAAGTAGGGTTCCATTGTACTTTTTTATTACTCAAAGATGACCACTCTGCTATTTTTAGGATAATACGAAACAATCAAAAACAAATTATCTAAACATATAAATATTTTTTTACAATTCTTGTCTGTCTGTTTGTTCAGGCTAATGTCTGAAATGACTGGACCAATTTTGACGACTTTCATTAGCAGGTAGTTAATGTAATATGGAGTAATTTAGATTACTTTTTATTAAGTTTTTAAAATTAAGTTGTCACGTGCAAGGGGAGGACGGGTTGCATGCTGGGCTTAAAAAAAAATCTTTATTTTTATTTCTTTACGCAGACGGAGTCGCGGATAACAGCTAGTATATAATTATTATATCGTCTTTTATTGTAAGAAATAGAAAGGTTCATGCTATAGAGGGAAAGTAGCTTTTTTGCAAAAAAAATACTATGAGTACATTTTGCGAAAGAAACTACATACCTCAAGGAATTTATTAAATTTTAGATTATTTATTTCTTTTCAACATTTTATTATTATCGTCCACTTTATAGATAAAATAAGATTATAAGATGTTATCTCCATAGTGAGGGCTTTTAGTCCTTCATAATATTTCAAATTTACACCATATTTCTTTTTATAATCATAGTTGCAGCCAAACTCAACGAGTACATTATATTATTCTGGGATAAAGAATGGTAGATTTCAGCAGTTTTTGAAGCGAGGATTTGTGAGAAATTTCTCCTTTTAATGAAGTTTATCTTTAGTAATAACATATTTCTATTATGGCGTTTTTAACTTGTTCTATGTCGGTTATGATAGCTTTTCGCATATAAAAAATGTGTACGTATTTCTTCTAGCCCATCTTGTACTGTAGTAATATGTACAATGTTGTTATAAAACTATTGATTGGGTCAAAAAATATTTTTCTTCTTCGTGGTCCTCCAATTCAATAACTTGTAACAGGCAGATGCGGTTACTTTGGTTATTTTAAAATTTGTAAAATCCAACTACCCTTGAGGTATTCAACTAAAACAATAATGGTTGAAAATAAAGGAAATAAAACCGCTCAGCCTGTAGAAGGCGTTTACTTGGATAATTAATTTTTCCTTTTAGTCTAAGGGGGTAACAGACCTATTGTTTATAAAAAAAAATCAAGTGTTCTGGATATAAAAAGTCTGGATAGATGCAAGAACAAACAGATGCAAAACAAAGTCTCTATGCGATTTTTTCTTTATCGACAGAACTATATTTGTCTAAAAATTGGTTTTTAGGGTATTACTTTCTAGTTATTTTCAGAACCACTACAACAACGTAACTTATCCATAAAATTCTGAAGATTCTTAATTAATTTCATATATAATTTAATATAAATATTATTAAAATAGGTATAACATTTTCCATGCATATGGTATTCATTTAATAAGGTTGAAACATTGAAATAAAACACCAATATTATATATAGTATTTACTTACAAAACCATTATGTATACAAATTATATGCTGTACAATTCCAAAAGCAAAATATTTTATAAACTAATCATCAAAAGTTATCATTTCAATGATATTATTTATATTGTACTAAAAATGACGATATAGCAACGTAAATAATGCATAATAACACAGCAAAATATTTAACTACAGATAATTACAAAGCATCAATTAATAGACATTGAAATATCATTGCCAGGACACAAAAATAAATACGTACTAAAAAAAACTTACAATATACAAGTGTGATACATAATAATAATATATAAGAAAAAAGTAACATTATTCAGTCGCAAGTATCTTAATTAAATCTTAATATTCAATACAATAAAATGTAATTGGCACGTACAGTGTCAGTTTTGATAATATTCAGGTAGAATCAGCTAATTACTACAATATGAATATGAATATATATTGAAATGAATGATTATTGTTATATACTACAATCGAGTACTAGTCTACACAAAAACAGGGAAAAAATGTAAACTAGAGCGTCATTAATAGTACGTAAAGCACATCAGTGTTATATCTAATGACGTAATACACATATGGTGGCACTTCACTTGGCGTTGCGTATTCGTCGTATTTGTCCAAATAGCTCAAACAGGACATCCACACTTGGCGCGCTAACAACACGTCTTTACGCGTTTTCGCTTGTGTATATGTCTTATTTGTGCAAATATGTCAAACGAAGACAAATAACTCCACCACACATGCTCTTATTTAGCTCAAAACAACAAATAAACGCCAAGTAAAGTGCCACCTATATTATCAACTATACTTATTATTTTGACTCCAAATTCCGAGTCTAGTTATATAGTATTGAGATGTGTTTATGATATGCACGATAAATGATAATGTATTTAATCATACACGATGGAAGGAATGTCAAATATTCAAATACTTATATTCGGTAAAATGATTATAATTTCGAAAGATAAATTCATTAACTAATTCGCTTGTCCTATAATGATTTGTCAACTAATATATGACTAGGGTACGAAATCACATTAATATACCTTTTTACACATAGGAATGTTTGTGACGATAATAGTTTAAGAAAATTGAGATTCTTATTTTTATCAAAATTAAAAAAAAAAAACGTCATTCATTTAAATGCAATATGGAATATTATTCAAGGTTTTAAAACACTACAATATTTGATTTAAATTAAGGCGTCAAAGTTTTGAAAACCGAATAAATTTCTTCTATATTAAATTTGTCTATGGTATGCTTTAATTTTATTTGCTATCCCACAAATTCCCGCCAAATTACGTTGTCAGTCAGTCTGTGACGAAGTTAATAAATTTTCAAATGTGGAACGCTAAAATTCTCAAATATTAAAACTAGTAATGGTATTTTATTTTGTTAAAACCATAAGAAATCGCTACTAAATCCGAGTTACTTTACATGTGCGCAAAAATTATGAATGCTACTAGCCTATTAGACACTATATTGTTGAATGCAGGTGCTACAATGCCATAAAATCACAAATTAATCGTGTTAAGCATATTTCTACATTTAATTTAAACTTTTTATATTAAATGATAATTGTTTTACAAGGTTGGCAATGGCAGTGGACGGCTTAACTGGTTGTCCGAATAAATTATGTTTTTTACATTTAAAGCAATTCTAAAAATTTTAAATTGTAGTTGCGTTCTTTCAGTGGACAGTACTTTTTTAATTATATTATTATATAAAATAAAATATTTTATACATTTCATTTATTTTAATTACTGCATATAAACTCCTTGGTAAGTTTAACCATGGAGATTAAAATGTAATTCAGAATTAAATGTTCTATCTTGTATTGTAAAATAATAATTATTTGAAATGCTGATGATAATGGTCTAATTATTTCCTCCTATTATTAAATGTGAGAATACAGTCATGAAATTTATTAATGTAATTCTAATTAATTAATTAATAATTACTTTCAGAGATTCTTTTTATGGAATGTCAATTAATAATTATCAATGAATTCTTAATGTATTTTTTACAATAATCAGTTTGGCCTTAACACAATATTGAGATAAATTTATATATAATTTATTTTTAATATTAGAATAAATTGACTAATATTAATAATACTTGATTTTAAATGAAATCTTTCAAATATTTGATGATATTAATACACTATGAAGTATGATCATGATGCTTTCATCGTTAAATTCTTCACCTTTTCCTATAATTCTTGTCCTTACATGTACAATTTCAGACAGAAATTGATTAATTTTATATTTATATCAAACTTCCTATTAAGCAAAACTAGATTTTATATTTACAAGCTACATAACCGAGATTTGGTAATCATTTGCTTTATGATACTTGATTGTTAATCGCTACAATGATTGTATGGTTCTACATCAATGAGATTTTATATCAATCACTACTGTTTTGTCTATGACATGTAATTCCGATTAATATCAATATATATGAGTAACTTACAACAAGTTGATTGAAGAAACTAATTATGGAACATTACCATACCAAATTTTTCATTCACAATTTTCCATATATGTTTATTAATGAAAATACTTCATAATTAGTTTTCTAACACAATCTTGTGGTAAACCGACTTTGCTAACGCGACGCAGACTTAACCGTTTGTGATATATCTACCTACCTACATTCACCGACTTAACGAATCATTATAAAATAGTACTACGCGCCAACAAATTTATGTACTTATATATGTACCGCAACGATTGTATCGATTTTTATCACAGACTTCTTTGCATTGAGCTTCCACTTTATAATCTGCGTCGCCTTTACATTAATATATATTACTAGATGAATCTATGGATATATTTTAAGATATATCTATGGATATATTATGATATATCTCGAGCACAGCTGCTGTAGCAGTCAGATAGGTGAGGTGTTGCGTTTAGAGCGCGGTAAAGTGGTGGGAGTGGTAGGAATGGTAGGAATGGTAGAAATGGTAGAAATGGTAGTATTAGGCTGGTAGGGTGTGTGTGCGGGTGTAGGTGCAGGTGACCGCATCAACAGCAGTAATAGACGCAGTCAATCAGCTACCACCTTCTGCGCTACAACCGCCAGCTCCTCTTTCAATATCCGGAACGATGGCCGATCTTCGGGCGCGTGACGCCAACAAGCTTTCATTACCTGAAATGAGATAAATAATTTCTATTATAGTTATCTATTTTTCTTAATAATTAAAATATGATGAGATCTAAGACTAATGATTATTAAACTAATATGTCCGGATTACTATGCGTATTTTGTTATTTTTACCCGTGGTCACGTCGGGAGTATGTAGTTTTTAAAAATAATAAAATACGCGTAGTAATCCGAAAATATAAGTTTCATTGAAACAATTAAAATACTTTGGTGTTATTATTTTAAAATGAAAAGTCGTTTTGTTATATTATCGACTATGTTTGAATTATAACTGGCAAATAAAAGTGTTGTTTGATAATTAATAATAATAATTATTATTCTCGTTTTATTATATACCACCCAAAATCTCTCACACCTATAAACAAGTGAAATGGTAGCCAAGCAGTGTATAAAAGATATATTGACCTATCAACAAGTGAAATGGTAGCAAAGCAGTACATAAAATGTGTATATATATTGTATAACTTACATTGTATATCTCATTGAGGCATCCTTTTGGTTTCTCCAATACCTGGCCCCTTTGAACCATTTCTACAACTTCGCTGTTCTTCATTCTGCCGTACGGAACCTTACCACACGTGAATACCTCCCACATCAACACACCTGAGAATATTTAAAAATTAATTACTTATTTTAATAATATTATTTAATTTAAAATTTATCTTTTAATCTTTTTAGCATATTTATTAATGTAATTATACAGAGTGACTGGTAAATTACTATCGATACTTGAAGACGTGATATTTGACGATCATATATGACAAAATAAAAATTAATATAACATAAATATTAATAAACTTCTAAGTAAAGTTAACCAAAAGTTATGTAATTAATTACGCATCGTGTGAACACCCTACAGATTAGTTATACACACACACACACACACACACACGCGTGCGGCGGCGTGGTGTTGTATCAGCACGCCGCCGCACTCGTCCACACTTGGGACACTTGGAACGTGTCCACACTTTATTTATTTATACGGAAATTTGGTCAAAAATTAAGTACCCATTTTTTTTACATAATTCGAATGAGAATCATGTACCGAGTATTCTCCTTAAATATTTTCACGAGTATTCATATAAATTAATGTAATATTTTTGACTTACTCCCGACATTTCGGTGACTTGGCAGCAAAAGATTAGGTTCATTTAAACGTTATAGTGTTTTGTTTATAACTTACCAAAGGCCCATACATCAGATTTAGATGAAAATCTCGTGTAATTGAGTACTTCTGGTGGAGCCCATTTTATTGGGAATTTGGTACCGCCGGAACTAGTATATTGATCGTCTAGCACGTATCGAGCGAGACCGAAATCCGCGACCTGGAATTTAAACAATATTATAAGCATAAATATCCCTACTAATATTATAACTGTCTGTCTGTCTGTCTATCTGTTACGCTTTCACGTCTAAACCACTGAGAAAGAACATAAGATAGTTTTTATCCCAGACTTTTGAAAGGTTCTCTTAGAAACGCGATTTAACCGAACTCCACGCGGGCGAAGCTGCGGGCGGAAAGCTAGTGTATTAATAAATAAATTAACTGTATGTTATGAATTGTTGCTGCTTTAAATAAAAAAAAATGTAATCAATATATCGTCGACGATAATAAGCATTGGATAATTCCGCGTATCTACATTGGAAGTAGATTATCAGAAGAAAGTTTGAGCTGAAATATACTTCTTAGGTATTTTTTTCACAATTAATAACAAATTAAACACTAAATAATTACAAATTTTGCACAATATGACATTGAGTCATTAATAAAATTGTTTGTTATTACCTTCACAACATTTTCATCTCCAACCAAACAATTCCTAGCCGCCAAATCCCTGTGAATGTAGTTCTGTCTTTCCAGATAAGCCATTCCTTTGGAAACCTTTAATAAAGAAAATAATTTATTAAATAAAAACCAAAATTAATATATCAAAAATCATATTACATATAAGATTTCATATTATGTTATTAGGTCTTATTATTTTTAATTTTATGTTATTACTATAGGTGCTATTTTAAGTCCGTAATACAAAACAAATACAACAGTAGTCAAAAGATTTATACAGTAAATGGTTGTGATATAAATTATAGGCTTGAGTCTTGTTGACAGTCATATATGAAATCTGAAACGCGCCATTGAATTCAGAACCATATTTAGTGTTCAACAAGTTGTTTACAGACGCATTTAATTGAATACTCTATGAAGAACACAGGAAAATAAATCTTTGAAATTAATGTATTTATAACTTTTCCCTCATAAATATCTATGTGCTTCTATAAAATAATTGCGTGAATATAATTTATAGGTCAACATATTATGTTATTGCCAAAACTTACAAAAGAGAACTATTAATAATTTCTGTGTTTATATTACAAGAAGAAATGGAGATGAATAACGGTCAAAATCGTATTATAATGTCGAATATAAGGGCATGAATACACCTTCAACTGATTGATATGAGTTATAAGTTGATATAAGTAATAGTAGATCTTCTTCTTCCTGGCAATTTCCCAGCTTTAGCCAGGGTCGGTCTAAGTAATAGTAGATAAGTAGTTGATATAAGTAGTAAAATAAGTACCTGTATACACATATCGAGCAAAACCGCGGGGCCGAGCTGGTCTGCGGACGTTCTACGGAGGTAGTTGAACAGCGATCCGTGCTTCATGTACTCCGTCACTATATATATGGGACGATGTTTTGAACACACCCCGTATAATTGAACGAGGTTCTGATGTTGCAGTTTACTGGAAAATTACGTTAAAATATCTTGTAATTTACATACTTATGGAGGATGAAATCCTTAATAATATTATAAATTCGAAAGTAACTCTGTCTGTCTGCTGTCACGAATAAACCACTGAACTGATTTTAATGAAATTTAGTACAGACATAGAGTTGACTTCGAGAAGGTAATAGGATAGTTTTCATCCCAGAGTTTTGAAACGTTCTCTTGGAAACGCGATATAACTGAACTAGTATAATATAAATGTAGTATTTAGATTTAATAATATAGATAGCAAAAAAAGTAACTTAGTAAGTTAATTGCAGCTATCTCTCTATAGTTACCATGTCAGTTATATACATATTCAAGAGTTAAGACATGTTTTTTATAGTATTTGGGTGAACTTACGTCATAACCTTCGCTTCGTCAATGAAGTCGTCTTCCGACATAGTGCCTTCCTTCATCATTTTAACGGCGGTATCTTTAGTACCGCGCCATCTGCCTCGGCGGACCACACCAAACTGGCCGGCGCCTAATTCTTCAAGAAGAACAAGCTCTACTGGATCTATCTCCCATTTATCTATAATTAATAATACATTGATATTAGGTTTGATACCCAATCTCAAGAGGCCTTTATAACCAACAAATTATTGAATGAGATAGCTCAACGGTAAGTAGACATATCAGTTGCAATACAAAAGATATTCACTATTGTACTGACGAGCAGTGGCGGCTGGTGGGTTATCGAACTGGTGGTGCACTTTACTAAAATATTAAAATTAGAAAATGCAACAAAACAACAATTGACATAAAATATGATTATTTATTTACATTAAATCAATGCGATGACATTTTTCTGAACCGAAATGTTCAATCACCTTTTTATTAAAATCGGTTATTGTTTGTATAAATGTTTTTTCAATACGAAGCATAGAACGTGCATTTAGCATTTCGGAGAAAAGTTTTGATTCTTTTCAATTCCAATTCGTCATACATCGGGTGCTCTCGGTAATCCTCGGTCGCTCGTGCGGCGCTCGAGAACCGACTCATTACTCGGTACATTTCTATGAACTATCTTTTGTCTCACGCGCCAGGCGTATTAATGCGTATCTCATACAAGATGTATTAGGAGTCCTCGTGCACTCGCCGAAGCGCACGAGATATTAATGTATTAAAGCGCTCAAACTTTTTGACTATAATTAGAAATTTAATTTTTATACGTTTTTGTATGTTTAGAAAATAAATATTAAAATGTAATGGTAATTTAAAAATAAAGATGAAGTAATAGTTAGTAATTTTCAAATCTTTTGAATTGGTGGTTCAGCGCACGAGTGCATTTAAGGTACAGCCGCCACTGCTGACGAGTAACTAATCATTGATTTAGTGCCGGCGTAAGGGGGGGGCGCGATGGGGCGACGGCCCAGGGCGCCAAATTTGGGGGGGGCGATTTGTGGAGGTAGGATTCTTATAAATGAAAAAATGAAAAAATAAATAAAAAATAGGAGCTACATAACTTTCTACGTCCACGTCGTTAGCTCCGGGTCACGCTAAAGGAAAGATGGAAGATGGTAGATGGATTATAGAATTCTTAATACACGTTCAGTGTTCACATCGGTTCAGAAAAAAATTAAACTCGATTTTGATTTATTCAAGTGGGCGTCAAAATATTCTTGCCCAGGGTGTCAGTCCCTCTAACGCCGGCACTGCTTTGATTAGTTACAAGACAGCCTCAAGCCATAACAAAAATATAAGGCAAAAATCACACAATGAGGTGACCAATTAACTAAGACCTGTAACTTAATACAAAACTTACCGTGCGATAGTCCAGCGGTGGGTGGCGCTGGTCGATCACAGGGTGTAGCTTTGAGTCTTGAACAAAGTCCTCCGCTATTGTGTTTGTGATAGTTAATGAGCTCTGGAATGCTTGAACAACAGTGCTTGTCTGATAGATAGAATTCACCACGAGCATTCTGCTTGATGTGGTAGTGCTTGGTTTGGGGATGATTTCTGTAATTAAAATATATTATTAACCGAATGCGAGAGAAAAGATATTCACAAATAATAAGAAATATTAGTAAGATATTTTCAGTTGTTGCTAACAGATTTTGGTAATAAACAACTTTGTAACGTATGTTTTATGAAAAGCTTATTTTATTATGCAGCGAATGCAAGTAAACTGTCTAACACTTCCACTTAAAAACTTTAAAGCGTTGTAACTAAAACAATTGAAGACTTTTGAGCCTATACTGTTAACTAAAAACTCAAGTTTACTTACAAATATATTTAAATCAATAAAATACTTACACTTTAGTATACAGCGATAGTGTGTACATGCCCTTAGTTGATGAGTTCCGTACAACAAAGCAGCCCTCCTTATCCTCTTGTTTGAGAAGCGACTCCGCCCTCTGGCGGGACATCTCGCCAACATACCATCTATATAAATAAATATAACATAAATATTATAATAAGTCATAAAACATCAAAGGATTTAACTATAATTATTCATTCACTCACAAACAAATGCGCATGCGCACATCGCACATACGTACAATATCAATTTGTCGGCTATTGAATACTGATTCATGAATATATGTTAAGTCTCAACACTAATTGCGATAAATAAAATGTTAATAATAAAAAAATAAATTAATAAAAATAAACAAAGACAGTAAGCGACTCTATACCTTTGGGTTATACAGGGTGACTGGTGAATTACTATCAATATTTAAGGAGCATACTCGGTACATGATTCTCATTCGAATTATGTAAAAAAAATAGGCACTTAATTTTTGACAAAATTTCCCTATAAATAAGTAAAGTGTTGACACGTTCCAAGTGATCAAGTGTGGACGCGTGCGGCGACGTGTTGATACAACACCACGTCACGACATGCGTATGTGTGAGTGTCAGTGTATACCTAATCTGTAGGGTGTTCACACGATGCATATTTAATTACATAACTTTTGGTTAACTTTACTTAGAAGTTTATTAATATTTATGTTATATTAATTTTTATTTTGTCATATATGATCGTCAAATATCACGTCCTCAAATATCGATAGTAATTCACCAGTCACCCTGTATATGACACAGTTACTTTTAATGTATTACGTTTCAACAATCACCTCACTAAAGAAACGTTTTATTACAAAGACATTTATTAATTTAATAATTCTTTGACACATATATTAAAACTTTTTCTTTGAAAATAATGTCAAAACTGTTATATGTATATATAAATACTGTAACGTGTATTTTGTTTTAAATATAACAATAGTCCAAGGTCCCTTAATTCAATTGAGCGGTGACCTTCAAGAACCACAAAACCGTTTTTTTTCTGTATACAAATACAATCTGTTGCTTGCGTTTGATAAAAATTTATACCATTTCTAGAATGTTCAATGGAAACTCACTCGTATTTTTGTAATCCTATAGTTTCCTTTTCCTTGACGTAATTGCTCGGTATGTATCCCACACAGCTGGAAAAATATTAAAAAAAAATATAAATAAATATATCCCTACTAATATTATAAATGCGAAAGTAATTCTTGTCTGTCTGTCTGTTACTCTTTCACGCCTAAACCACTGAACTGATTTAAGTGAAATTTGGTACAGAGGTAGAGTAGACCTTGAGAAAGAATATAGGATAGTTTTTATCCCAGACTTTTGAAAGGTTCTCTTGGAATCGCGATAGTATATATATGTTTGAGATTTAGTCATTTTCTTACCCATGCTCATCTTTAACTTTCCACCAGTGTTCCTGAGAGTCATCTATGACTTCGTATTCCGCGCCCTGAAAACAATATAATACATATTACACCGTTTATTACTTAACAAGATCGAGAATGTCTCAATATCGAATTACGTTTACTTAAATGAATACCTTTTCCAAGGAGAGGTCGCCGCTTTCGATCGCTTTAAAAGGGTACAATGCTACCACGACTTTCGTCCTTTGCTTATCCTAAAAAAAAAACAATTTTTAATTTGGAAAACTTTAATCCTACGAATATTATAATTGCCAAAGTTTGTGAGTGTGTGTGTATGTTTGTTACTTCTTCACGGCTGAACCGATTTTAATAAAATTTTGTATACAGGAAGCTGACGTCTAGGAATAACACATAGGCTACTTTACATCCCGGCAATCCGCGGGTAACACCGCGGGGCGCAGCTAGTACGATATATTCTTTTAGGGGTAGTAGTACTTAGATATGGGTCATGACTGGTTGTTTGCTCTTTTGGCTATCTGATTCTATCTCTAAGTAATAAGTAAATATTATTCACTTTTTCTTGATAATTTTATTATTTTAATGAGTACCTTTGGTTTCGCTGATGGTGTTCCCGGAGGCGGCCCCCCACCTCCTGGCATTGTGACAGCCGCTGTCACAGCTATAAAAAAATAAAAAAAATAAAGAAAAAAAGAATTTATGCACACATTATATTCTTCCAATGTAGTATTGAATTTTTTTTATAAACATTTTAAACTCACAAATACAATTCTTTCTGAAAAGTACGTATATAAATACCTATAAACATGTTGTATTGATTTTTTTACTATTTTAAACTCTAATATATATACCTATAAATTGTCTATCCTAATTACTTCATCAATGACTCTAAGTAGAGTCAACTCTATCTAAAATTGTGAAGATGGTTGAATAATAGTCAACTCTACTTAAATCAGTGTAACGATTATCACAAGGATGCTTCAGAGTTTGACATTACGAACATGGAGCGTGGTAATTACTTTTGCGTGACGATTTCCATAATAAAGGCAATTTTATTGTAGAATTAACTTACGTTCATTACGGTGTATTGGGGTAGTGGAAAATTTTCAAAAAACATAACAAATAGCGTAATTCCCATATAATTGTAAGTAATGATTACAAAATATCACTTAATACGGCAATATTATATAAATTTAAGAGTGAAAGTATATATATTTGAGTATAAACTTTTACCTTGCGTGGGCACAATTATTGCATTGGCTTATTAACTTACAACTTTCATTTCAATTTAACACAGAAACACTTCCAAAAATTTACTCAATTATCGTTTAAATAACATCAATTTATACTTAGTGATTAATTAATAGCATTATTGCTAGTTTCATGCAGTGATTGCGTATTTTCGTACCGCACTTTAACAGAACCGAATTACACTTTTTACATAGCGAACTTATATACACTTATATGTTATATATATGTAAATATTATACATTTTATACCCTCGAGGGCTGGTAGGAAGGCTGACAGCGAGAGGCATGGTATCTTTGATTTCTTCTTGGTGACCATTTCTTCGTTTTCACTAGCCAACATCTGTAAGGGCGGTCGTACGCGCGCGACACCAGGCACAAACTGAGCCGTGTCAATGTACGGCGGAGCGAATAAGGCCGAGTACAGACGGCTTAACTTACGTTGATTGTTAATTATTATGACACAAATTAACTAATTGCTATTGAATATTATTTTGAATTTAATATTATTTGATGATACCCAGTTTTTGCAACTAAAAAAAATCTTTTTGAAAAAGGTATATGTATTTTTCTTAACTTCATATGTTTCAACTATAAATATTATATTTTTTTATACTGATATATTATAAGTATATATTATTTTATATATGTATGTTAGTATTGTATTACGTCATGATGAACATGGTTTTATCACGATCAAGACACGGGAGTGAGAGCAGAAAAGATGGTCGTACTCGGCCTACATTCACTATACGGAGGCGCAAGCGCATGATCTCCTGTCTCGCTCGCACACTAACAAAGTTACATACAAACGATAGAGACGGCATGATACCTCAATGACGACAGCGGCGGATGTATTACAACAAGCTATTATAGACAGTATTACTATCAAAATAAGACTAAATTTTTAATAAAATTACATGTACAAGTACCAAGAACTGAGGTACAATAATTACAAGAGCTTCTTATGCACATAATTTATTGTAGATATTTTAATAATAACAAGCCATAAATATTCATATGACCGTATATTTTAGGTTTACATAACAATGGAACTAATTTTTTACAAAATACAATATAAATCTATACGTGAATAAAATCGGGAGTCTTTTTTTCATATAAAACAAAAGTACCATTAAGCCGGTGCTACATTATAAATGATAAATATATTTAAACAGTCACTTCACTTTCAAATGTGAGAGTGAAATGTACGGGACAAAAAAAAATGGGAACGTGTCAATCAGGCTTATTAGTCATTATGCATTAATCATGACGCTTCTGAGAGGTGAATATGGAACGAAGATATATATAAAAAAAACGGGACGATGTTTGAACTTTTGTGTTTGTTTCCGACAGACGTGACTAATATTTCTTGTTAATCAACATAATAAATATATATAGTTTATACTAGGTTCTTTTGTAATAGAAAACCAACATAGTGTTTTAAGTATACAGGATAATACACTTTCTTTAATTATCAACATTGTATATAGGAGCCATAATATATGTTAGTCATATGTCATATAAACTCTTCTTCTTCCTGGCAATTTCCCAGCTTTAGCCAGAGTCTGCCGATATGCCGATATGTAATATAAACTATTCTTTAAATATTCATAAGTAAATAATTCCCTTAGTAACACAAAAACTTGTCTAAGCTTGCAGTATGTCAAACTAAATAGCCATTTAACCATATTGAAGATATAAGTACCTATTAAAAAAAGCCTAAACATCTTACTACTAGTTTCCATCGTCATACTAAAAACGGTCATTTACTAGTTTTTCATAAATAATTTATGACATACGAAATTAATGCGGGTTCGATCCTGGCCCTGGCAAGTACCAATGTGATTTTTCACAGTCATATGTACTTTAAGAGTATTTAGACATCACTGATTAATGCATTCCCAAAGAGGGTTGATGTCAGGCAGGCCGGTCGTAAAAACAATTTGCCAAAACTATTCACATTTAAGGCAGACCCTGGCTATAGCTGAAAAATTGCCAGGAAGAAGAAAATACGAGATTTATGAAGTAACGTGAAACTGTGTGTGTTCAGTGTGTGATTAACTCGTAATAAGGCTACTGCATCAAGTATGCACTTCCTGCAGTGCGGCTATTTAGCCACGCGAATACAAGTTGGTAACATGCTAATTGGGCCAATCGAGACTTCTAACATACATTCAAAAGTATAATTTGAATTCATTTTAATTTAACTATTTTTACAGAAAATAAATGTAATTTTTTTGGTAGAACATATTTAATTTCATTTAAATGGAACTAATACTTTTTAAGGTACTCCCGATGTTTCTTAGTAAGTAGTTTTTAAAAATAATGAAATAAATGGTAGTAATCCGAAAATTTTAGTTTGTTTTAAATAAATATTCGTGAAAATCTTAGGTCTCTTTATATTTAATTTCTTTATAGATCTCATACGCAAGATATATTTTCCACAGATCGATAATGTTCTGTTTCTATTGGCATCATTACTAAGAATTCCACATATTTACGTGATCCGTCTCATAAGAAGCTTTTGAATACGAAATGATTGAATCAATAAATTAAAACATTACTATTATTATATATTTAATGAAGATACTATGTAACTCAAAAAATCTACTATTTTTTTATGTATTAGATATGAGTTCAAAGATTATAATTTTCTCACTTCTAATTCATAACATACTTTAATACTTTGTTGTATACAATAAATGTGCAAATATTTATGAATGAAAATTGTTTTATTTTCCGTATATACGACAAAGAAACCTTAGAATACACATACTGAAATGAAATCCTTTTATTGATTGACTTTTATACGTATTAAAATATATTTCCCTTTAATCGTCGGGTCAATATTATTTTTGATCAATATACAGGGTGACTGGTGAATTACTATCGATACTTGAGGACGTGATATTTGACGATCATATATGACAAGATAAAAATTAATATAACATAAATATTAATAAACTTCTAAGTAAAGTTAACCAAAAGTTATGTAATTAATTACGCATCGTGTGAACACCCTACAGATTAGGTATACACACACACTCACACATACGCGTCCGCGGCGTAGTGTTGTATCAGCAAGCCGCCGGACGCGTCCACACTTGGAACACTTGGAACGTGTACACACTTTATTTATTTATACGGAAATTTGGTCAAAAATTAAGTACCTATTTTTTTTTACATAATTCGAATGAGAATCATGTACCGAGTATTCTCCTTAAATATTGATAGTAATTCACCAGTCACCCTGTATAATGAGACTTTCGTTAGTATTACATATCCCTACTAATATTATAAATGCGAAAGTAACTCTGTCTGTCTGTCTGTCTGCTACGCTTTCACGCCTAAACCACTGAACTGATTTTAATGAAATTCGGTACAGAGATAGAGTTGACCTTGAGAAAGAACATAGGATAGTTTTTATCCCAGACTTTTGAAAGGTTCTCTTGGAAACGCGATATAACCGAACTCCACGCGGCGAAGCTGCGGGCGGAAAGCTAGTATGAAATAATAGTAATATTTTTCGGACTTAATAATATACTCCCTACATTTAAATTACTTTAAAATTATATTTTCATACCTGAAAATAATAATATAAGTTTACAATAACTCACCTAATCCGTTATCTTTATTATGTTCCTGCAGTATAAGCTCCAAGTCGGGCTCCGGTAGCGGCCAGAGGGAGGCAAGGGAGCACCCGGGGGCTGTCTTACGTTCCGCGTCGCAGCACCACCAGCGGCGCGCCGAATACACCGCAGGGTGGTAGCGGGCGCGACGTGTGTTTGATATACACACTGTCATCATATGATTTATTTAATAAATGCTTTATTGACAAACACATGGAAAAAAAGGGAAAATACATAAAGTAAGTACATGGTGTGCAAAGGTATTATCGCTTATACAACAACCTTTGGTGATAGGAGCTTAGAAAACAGGTAAGTGAAGAAAAATATACAGCAAAATGAGGAAAAGTACATAATATTTACACTAAGGTATAGTAATAAACTACACAACTACATCCCAATAATACATACATAGAAATATATATCGAAATATACAGGGTGACTGGTGAATTACTATCAATATTTAAGGAGAATACTCGGTACATGATTCTCATTCGAATTATGTAAAAAAAATAGGCACTTAATTTTTGACCAAATTTCCGTATAAATAAATAAAGTGTGGACACGTTCCAAGTGTTCCAAGTGTGGACGCGTGCGGCGGCGTGCTGATACAACACCACGCCGCCGCGCGCGTATGTGTGTGTGTGTGTGTATACCTAATCTGTAGGCTGTTCACACGATGCGTAATTAATTACATAACTTTTGGTTAACTTTACTTAGAAGTTTATTAATATTTATGTTATATTAATTTTAATTTCGTCATATATGATCGTCAAATATCACGTCCTCAAGTATCGATAGTAATTCACCAGTCACCCTGTATATACTTAAATATAAACTACATACTATTACATACTTGCATACATTATTTAGATATGGATAGGTAATAGTTTAAAACGATGCTTAAATATTGCAAAGGATTTAGACTGCCGTATATCAGTGGGTAGTGCATTCCAGAGTTACTGTATGATATGATATGATATCCTACTAATATTATAATTGCGAAAGTTTGTGTATGTGTATGTTTGTTACTTCTTCACGCTCCAACGGCTGAAGCGATTTTGATAAAATTTTGTATACAAGAAGCTGACGACCAGGAATATCATATAGGCAACTTTACATTACGGAAATCGGAGGTAACACCGCGGGGCGCAGCTAGTGATATGATATGATAAAATATTTATCGTCGACGATAGTGCAAATCCGCGTAACTATCATTGGATTATACCGCGTATCTACATTGGAAGCAGATTATCAGAAGAATGTTTAAGCTGAAATATTTTCTATATTAACGACTTTTAAGGTAGTTTTTTCACAATGAGGGGTAAATTAAACACTAAGTTATTACTAATTATGAAAAAAAAATTTCTTAACTCGGTGGGAGGCGTTACCGGGTAAAATTTACCACATAGTGCATACTTTCGAAAATATTTATTTTTGTAAGTGATTTTGTGCAGCGCCGTTTTAGATACCTTTCGACAGAAGTTCGACGGTTCGACTAATAAAGAAAATCGTGAGATTACTTGAAGGTGTTGGCTGTGTCTCTTGTATTGCCACAAATTAAGTGTAAATCTACAATCTTAAACCTGCCTACATACATTTATGAAAAGTAAAATAATACTTTTACTTGGTGGTAATGGCGAGCAAATTAATAATATTCCGAATAAACAACAGGAAAGAGCCCTCCAGCCACACTAGCAAATATTTCGTTTTGTGCACAAAATGGCTGAGTTTTGGGCTATGTTTTAAAATGTCAAATATTACATATTATACCAAGCGTTATTAGTTTCCAACTGTCTTGTTTAATTGAAAATGTAACACAATATAATATAAAAATTGGTTATATTTAATTAGACAGTCAGTGTTGGTATATGGGGCGCGCCTCCCGCCGAGTTAAAAAACGATAATTTAGCAAATATTTCAGCTCAAACTTTCTTTTGATAATCTGCTTCCAATGCAGGATACGCGGAATACAATATACGCTGAAATCGGAATTATTCAATGCTAGTTACGAAGATTTGCACTATACCCGACAATATAAGACGAAACCTCTCATCATTCCATGTATTCACGGTGCGTGTGTCGGGTCCATCGTTGCAGAGAGAGAAGCTTCAACAGTGCCTGGGACTTGCGACCCAGGTGTAGGTTTAAGGGGCATCTATCTAACGTTAAACCCTCACCTTCACTGTCCAAGCTCCTCTCCCTACATAACCAAATTTGAAAAGAATCTACTAGGCCTAAATTCCAAATACATATTAGTATATTTTATAACATATTTTATGTATAACTATTCATATATTAAAGTACGTACCTAATTATTTTCTATCACATATTAAATACGATCAAGAATTTAAAATCACAATATAAGTAGAACACATCTTTACATTAAAACATACGAATGCTAACTGGATATAATCTTGACCTTTAGATAGACTTGGCACATTAAAATCTTCCAAAATTAGATATTCCATTAAGTGTTGAATTTTAATAACATTATAATTGTTAATTCTATGACCAAAACTTGTACACTATGTTACCATAGACACTAAAACTTTTTTTTTAAACCATCATTAAGACAAAGATTTTTTAATTTTTTTTTTTTTTTCATTTTTTTGTTTTGTTGCATTGAAACGTATGGATTTGTAAGAAAAATCAATCAATAATTTATCTAAATGAACGAAGGAAACTTTATTCTGCCCAATATTTGCTTTTTTTTAACATATTTTTCTATACATCCTTTTTATTCTTTATTTTTATTTATCAGAGGACACCTTATACGGCGGATATTAATACGAATTATAATAATAAATGCATATATATAAGATCAAAGTAGATAAAGAATAAATCTTTATTATCATAAAAAATATGAAGATATTTTTATTACATTTTACACACATACACACACACACACGCATACACACATATGTATTTGTTATTATATAAGATTTCTTTATAACCGATTTTTTCATATCTTTTCAGGAATAACAGGAATAATTTAAGATGCATTCTATCTTTTTTTTACTTAAAAGATCATTTTTTTATTATTATTTTTTTAAGTATCAAAGTAATTTAAACCAAAAAACGCATATAAATATATACTAGTTATCAACTCACCGGTCCGTTCGGAGGTTTGTGTATCAATAACTGGTATCTAGTAATATTAAACCGCAAAGTTTCCTAATTACACCCTTAGTATTAGTTTTCGTATACTTAATACGAACAGTTATTATGTTTCTCACTCACAAATAGCCGGGATAAATACGTCAAAACTATCGGTACGAAAGTAAATAAGGAAAACCCTACTAAGGACGGTTAATACGATATCCGAGTGTGATATCAAATATCAATATTAAATTTAATTTCAACTTTTACTCTTACATGAAATATTTTTTAAAATAATATTATGTTCAATAAAAAAATAAATATTTAAATTACTACTGTTTTTTTATGTTATAGTACAATTTTAATAATTATTATTACCAAGTATATGTGTATGTGCAAATTGCGAATGCGTGTATATGTGTGTGTGCACTTGCGTGTGTTTGTTGCTCAATCAAACAACATAGCGACTGTATTTAAATAGGTTTTTTACTTAGGTAGTATATTAAAGCAATGTGAGGTAGAAAAAAGTTATTGGCGTTTATATAAATGTAAATCTTACCCGTCCTTATAGCATGTATCCAGTCCAATCTCTCACTATGCTCCTTGGCAGCGAGATACAAAGTATAATCAGAATTCTGTTCCGAATATCCGACCTACATAACAATATTAAACATGTTATACGTTCATACAACACACTATATGAAAGTGTTACTATGATAAATATGAAATGCTACTCTTCAAGCATTCAAGCTAATGAAAGCGGTGAATTCATCATTAAAGCGCTGACAGCGTATAAACATAAAGCTGCGTCGTGTAAATTACCTGAAAGGGATACCTGTAGGGGCTCTTGTCGTTGTCACCGTCCAGTATTTGCTTGCTCAGCTCTCCAAGCTGTGCTTGTTCCACAGTGTGAATAGCATCTGTTGGTATACGACCTCGTTCTTTACGCTTCTATAACAATGAAGCGCTTTAAAGCTGCTGATTATATATTAATGAATATTTAAAATTCGAATATTCGGAGAGAACGATTGTTCTTCAGATATTCGAATTATAAATTTGTTTTTTTTTTTATTATAAGAAGTCAAATTCTATTTGATTCACAATTTTATGCCAGTACCATTTAGTCAATATGTATTCAGCCAAAATGAAATTTATTTTGACCTATCCTACTAATATTATAATTGCGAAAGTTTGTGAGTGTGTATGTTTGCTACTTCTTCACGCTCAAACGGCTGAACCGATTTTGATAAAATTTTGTATACGGGAAGCTGACGTCCAGGAATAACATATAGGCTACTTTACATCCCGAAAATCCGCGGGTAACACTGCGGGTCGCAGCTAGTAAAATATATACGATAAAATCAATATTTAGTTGGAAATTTAATCTCGAATGAACTGTTAATTAAAATTTGATCTTAAATATTCATTAACACAATGTCGAAAAGCAATCTACGGTATTAGACGTCTAGAGAAAATGAAGCAGCTATACAAAAAGCGCTGACATTAGTTCCTTTGAAAAATCTCGTTAGTGAGAAAATTGGATGCGAAAATACTGTCTTTGTAATATTTTCAGAGTTTTAAAATGTTATATCTGGAGAATATTGTGTATACGACATACATTTAACTTTCCATACAAAATTTATTTACTCGTATGTAGATAGAAAAAGTGATAAATATTTTAGTACAACAGTCCAAAAACATTTAATATATTTCAAATTAGACAAACAGCTTTATTTACTTAAAACTTATGTATAAGTAGTGTACATTATTTACACCTAAATCTAAGGGGGTAACAACTGTATAAGTCAACGACTCTGGAACCAGTTTCTGAATTCCAGCCAACGGACATGTATAAGACCTTACGGTATTGGGATTTATAGCCAATTAGATGCTGCATAAACATCGACTTTTGCAAACAAAATTAAAAAAAAAAACTTTTCAAAAAAGGAATTGATTCCAAATTTATAACAATGTATAATAATAAGCAAATTAATTCTTCTTAATTTACTTTGATGCCAGTTCCCACACATTTCAAGACATTATAAATGCTAATGATTTGTTGCATTATAATTGTTTATTTATTATATTTTTTACAATTTCTATAGTTATCGCCATTTGTAGTGGTTTTTTTCTAAAATTTAAACCTGTCTACCGATAAGTTACAGCAAACAGCGATACTTCCGATCCAAGACTAAAAGGATTTCCTGATGGGAAGAGCATCGCGTCAGTAACAGGAATCCGATAATTTCACCAATGTACTACACCGATAAAGCTATCAGACTTGTTATATTTATATAATAATAATTATAAACAGCGATAAAATTTACATTATTAACTAGAACTCATCATTAAAACGATCAGACATAAATTAACTTATTACGTGCTCAAAGAAAACGAAAACTTACAAAGATGAAACACAGAGTTAACAAAAAGTACATATTCACAAAAGACAAAACCGCAAAAAAGAATAGTCGTTATGGAGAGAGCCTTTTACAAACAATTAGTGCGTCATAAAGGGCTCTTCGTGAAACCGCTCACTAGTATGGGGGCCCTAGCGTGACGACACATACATTATGAGAAGGGCCTAGCACCCTTCAATAGATGTGATTACAAAGTACACTAGCTTTAAACAACTTTAATACGACTATGCCCTTTAATCACGACGCAACTTACCTCCAATAACACGTAGATTGAAATTTGAATCAATATTATACGTAAAAAATGTTAATAAATAAAACTTAATCAATTACTAACGTTAAAAATAACACCCAAGTCCCAACATCAGAAAATGTACGAAAGATAAAAATACATTTAATAAACAAACTAATCAATTAAACTAGAAAAACGGGAGACCATTTTTGGGGATACGTCCGTTAAAAACATTTGCGTAGGTTGTTTGATACACGCTTTACTCGTTTCACGACGAGACGGACAATTATATGAAGTTATACATATATAGCACTTTTTATATAATTTAATTGGTAATATATATATTTTTATATATAAAAAATATTACCGAATAGATCGATCGTTCCACGTCGAACGTCAGGTCACGTTATAATACTGACGGGTGCCGTGCGGCGTGCCTCGGGGTAAAAGACACGCCCAAATCGCGCATGCGCACATCAACCCTCTATAGAAATTACGGCTCCAATTCATATTTCAAAATTGAGTATCCCAACATGAATGTCTTCGGTAATTCACAAAAATAACATCGCGAATTCATTTCAATACGAATTAACCTCATTTGGCGCGCAAAAATGTAGATTCGGTTTTTTTTTTAATTATACAACCAGCATCATCTTCATAACTACATTTTTTTTTAGTCCCATACATTTAATTCATTCCAGAATGACTAACTGATTCGTCATCGCGGTGCCGAATCGAAAGAACAGAATCATTAAACATTGCCTGTTTTCCTTTACATTGGAATGAAAATTTTATATATTAAAAAAACTAAAATTCACTTCTAATTTGGCAGAAAAAATTGTGCAAAACTTTTTACTCAAAATACTTTTCTCATTATGATATTTTTCAACTGAAAATTATATTACAACAAGTGCAGTTTACTATTTTCAAATTTCCTTTTAAATAAGTTTATGAGGAAAAGTTTTTAAATTATACATATTTGGATATTAAAAAAACCTATAAGGAAAACACTTGAGTACTCTATTGTGTATAATATTTCCCATTCAAGTTAATATATTGTAAATAAGTGTAACATAAACAGGCTTTTGATACAAATATTTACATGTTGTATCAAAAACATTATAAATAATACCCTTAATATGATTAAAATAAAAAAAAATGTTTTGATCTCGAAGCAAAATAGAGCATAATATCAAACTAAGACAAAAAATAAAAATATTTTTTGGTTTGGATGTTAATTGTTAAACCTTGGTGTCTACGTAAAAAAAAATGTATATTATGAATAATACAGATTAAAAAAATTAACAAGAAATGTTAATATATTTTTTTTACTTATATATTATTCTTTGGTGTCTTGTAAACAATAAATAGTTTCTTAGATAAAAATTAAAAAAAAATCACTCAACCAAGCTCCGCTTACCTCAATATTACAGTCTTCTTAATCCTTAAGATGCATGAGAACAAAAATCTAATTTATATATTGTAAGAAATAAATAAAGATTTATACAACATCTAAACAAAGTTAATATATAAATTAACAATTGAATTAAATGTTACTAATACAACATTGATTTTATTCATAAAAACAACGGAACTATATTTATGTATTGCATAAAATTATATTATTATTTATATATACAATATGTCTTCATTAACTTCTAACTGAGAATTTACTTTTTTATTTATTATCTGTTTTTTTAGGGTACTCCAAATAAAAAAAATATATATATAATTTTCAACCAATATTTATAACTGTATAAAATATATGGTAATGTTATTGTTTAAGTAGATAAATAGTTAATTTATCATCTTAATTCTTACCTGTCCATCAGAATCATAGTATATGAGGTATTTTCTAGTCAGTATAAACCATCGTTCCTTGTAATTAACTGGTGTGAATATTTTCTTATTCTGAGATCTTTTAACCATGAATGCTTTACGGATAACTTCATCATCTTCTGGGGATGCCATTGTGCCTGGAAGTATATGAAAAATATATTTACATATATGTACACATATTTATAAAAAAAGTATATAACAGTAAATTACATATGTAATACAGTATGTAGTATTTTAAATAACAGTAAATTTAATATAACTAATAAAATAATATTGAAAAAATATATATACAGAATCAATAAATAGACATTTCACAGGTAAAGTTTATTACCAACGAAATAACTTAGATAAAGCCGGTTGGAAACATACTTTAAAAAAAACATGTAAAATGTTATGACAGATAAGCCTAAAAATTAAATAAATTACCTGCTTTGATTAAGAGCGGAACATAATAGATTCGTCACATTCCTATGCTAAAATGATATAGAGTTCTTGAAGTTAACTATAACAAACACTATAAAATGTCTAAATACTGAAGAAATTTTCTAATTTACACCTTTTTTAATATAGAAAAAGTTTTGGCTAGTTCAAAACTTCAACAAGTACAATTATTCACTATCCGTCACTGTTAGCCGTCACAATATCTCAATTCTCAAACAAGATCGACATTAGGCAATAGTGTAGTACCTGCCTATCTACATAATATTGAAATTTATATGACACCACTCAGACTTAGCAACCATTAATAATAAAATATAAAATAATAATAATAATCTTCCCTTAAGGTTGATATATTTGTTAAGAAACAATGAACCAAGAATAATTATGTATTTGTATCCAAATATTTTACATATCTTCTTAGATTAGTCATAAATAATTCATTATATGATTTTGTATTATTGCTTAAAAGTAAACTTATTTATTAATTCATTTTATATGTATTATTTGAACTATGTGTTATATATTTTTATTATAATAGAAATGAATTTGGTACGGATAAATTAAAAATATTTGTAAGCTTAATCACAGAAATAAATAAATTAATAAAAATAATGTCTTAAATATTAATTACTCTCTGTTATTAATTGCAAACAAAAATGTTTATATTTTTTTAAGAATTAATATTTTAGATTTAAAAAAATTAATGGCAGCCCAGAAATAATTCTGATGACGATTTTTGCAACTGGAAACACCAATTTAAGAAGTAAGCGCGTCGGTTTGTTACTTTTGGGTGGTGTTATATTTAGTTGAACGCCGAATCGTCACATTATTGTGAAGTTATAAGTGTTTTTATTTAATAACTGCAGTTAATTACTCAATTTTAACTTTAAAATGTCTGCTGATAATATAGAAAAGTTATACCAGAACTACGGAATACTAGCAGATGCTAAGGATGACATCTCAAAGGTAACCTATAAATTAATATTTATATGAAAAATTATTAAAATAAATTTTATCACTAAATGTTATTTTTTAGCATGAAAAAGAATATTTAGAGATATTGGCAGCAGTCAAAGGATCCGACAAAGAGAAACGGTTGGCGTCCCAATTTATTGCAAAATTCTACACAAGTTTCCCTAATCTAGCAGATCAAGCGATAGAAGCTCAGTTTGATTTGTGTGAAGATGATGACGTGGCCGTAAGTGTATACACATATTTTTATTCAGTTATTTTCCATTATAATGAGATATAAATTATATATAAGATTAATTTCATCATAGATTCGTAAACAAGCAATCAAAGCCCTGCCCACTATGTGCAACAATAATAAAGACCACACTACACGGATATCTGACATACTCGCTCAACTCCTGCAGTCAGAAGATGCTACAGAAATTAACGTAGTAACTAATTCTCTAGTCACTATCCTTAAAAGCGATCCCAAAGGAACTCTCACAGGTCTTTTCTCACAAATACATCAAAGTACAGACAGCGAAGTCCCTAACGAAGTTGTTAGAGAGAGATGTATAAAGTTTTTAGCGACTAAAGTTAAACAGCTCGGTCGGGAAATCATCGATAAGGAGTGCGAGGAACTGATCATTGTTGAAGGAAAGAAATTATTGCAGGTTTGTTATATAGTTACTATATAATAGGATTAATGATATTTGTTCCAAAAAAACATGCTTTTTATGAGTAATATATGTTTATTATATAGTATGATTTGATTTAATAACTTTTTTTTATCTTTATACATAGTTATATATATTCATCAAATATATTAAACAAGATGTGAACTATAGAAAGTTCATTTTATTATTAATCTTGTGTTTACTGAATAGTTATATGGATAGAATATCTCTGGAACTAATAGTTTTATTAGTTCCAGAGATATAGTCTATTGAGTTGTCATGTTGCGAACATGGTATTTAATATTTGTTTGTAGAAAATTTTCAGTACTTGAAATTGGCACTACTTTCTATAATTTTTCCTATTTTTAATATTCCTAAATAAGGGTAATTTAAATTTAATGTTACAAATATAAATATTTATAGGTACTTATTAGCCTTTAACATATGACTTACAATATTAGATATATAATATAACAACATCATTTTTCATAGTATTTTATAAATACAATTATCAGATATACTCACAAAATTTTGTATACTTCTATTATTATTTATTTCCAAAAATATATATATATGTAATAGAATCAAGTTTATTTACATGTTGTTACAAAAATGTACACAGCTAAGACCAAATCAAGCTAAATTTATAGGTATATTGTCTTTAAAACTTTTACATTATTACCTATTTTCATAGTGACTTTGGCATATTAAAGTGATTTTGCTAATTGCTATAAGTGGTTTTGAAGTAATTCTTTCATGATAAGGCATATCCCTGTTTTTGGTGAGATACAGTCTTTACTTGGGTCCCAAGAAATTTAGCAATAAAGAGACATAGGTTTCCCTTAATTAATAAACATAAGAAAAATAATTGTTATAAATTATCATACTAATTAAATGTGTATTAATTATTTCTGAAAATACTAATTCTCTAGAAGGCTTAACAGGCTATTAGGTAATACTTTAATATGGTTTTAATTAAATGATTAACTAATTATCATGACTTTTAGGATTCTGTTGCTGAGGAGTTTGAGCACATCATGGAATTGCTTACATGGACAAAAATTGGTAAAACTCCAGCGGGAAGGAAAGAATTGACCGAACTGATATTGGCATTAGCCTTCACACCAGGCGACTGGCATCCCGAGGATCCCGAGTATATAGACAGACTCATTCAATGCACCCAACATGCATTACCTTTATTTACCGTGAGTCATTTATGATATAATTAATAATCTATAGAAATTGTCTAATGAGTAATTCATTAACTTTTTCAATAAATTGTATGCTTAAAACTTGTTTTAATTACTTGTTTACATTAATTAAGTGATTGGCTTATTAAATAAACCCATAAATGCTTAGTGTTAACATAATTTTGATGATTAATTATCTTTCAGGCTCAAGTAGACTCCACACAGTATGTCAATGTGTTTTGTGATAATGTACTAGCACAATGGAATGATTTAGCTACAACCGGCAGTCCCGATATCAAATTGGAGATATTAAAAACATTTGCCGAGCTCACAGAACACTGTGGTGAGCTTGAGAATGCGGCACAGAAAATTAATATAGTTTATGACGTATTAATGGTAATTATTATATATGAAATATACTTTTTAAAATAAATAGTAGTAGTAATATTCTTTATGTTATTAATTACAGAAATACCTACCAGAGGCACCGATAGAAAATGAAAAGGATGATGTTAAAGAGGCTAAAACAGAAGAAGAATCCAAATCTGATGAGTCCAAGTCAGCTCCTTCATTGCAGTTTTCACATGTTGAATGTGCGCTATTTGCATTACACTCCTTGTGTAGGAAATCACCGGAAGCTTTAAGTGCTGATGCTGCAAGACTGAAACCATTACGTCTAAGACTTCAATACACAGCCAGATTAACACAAGGATATATCAAAAAGTTAAAGGAAGTTACTCAGGTATACTATACAAGACTGTAGATCTGCAAATCGTCGTGGATAGTGCAAAACCGCGTAACTACCATTGGATAATTCCATATATTTTGTAAATTAACGACTTTTATGGTAATTTTTTTCACAATTAGTAATTATTTTCTTTTTAGTTTATTACTAATTGTGAAAAAATTCTTTAAAAATCGTTAATTTAGAAAATATTTCAGCTTAAACCTTCTTCTGATAATTTTCTTCCAATGCAGATACCTGGAATTATTCATTGGTAGTTACGAGGTTTTGCACTATCCCCGACGAAATGGTTTAATACTTTTTCTGTAGTGGTGTACTAAAAATTAATTTTCTAATTGCAGGGTAAAAAGGGAGATGATGCCAATACAGAAGAAAACAAATTGAAAGTAGCAGCTTTAATGACTACATCAAATATAAACACACTAATACGAGACATATTCCGAACACCACCTAGCTTTAAGAGCAAAGTTCAACTTTCATTTCAAACTAAGAAAGCTGAAAAAGAGGTATGTATATAATACACAACATATATTATATATACATAACACAAATTAATAATTTTAAATGTATGTTAATTCTAAAATATATTCTCAGGATAATCAGCCAGCTGTAATACATGAAAGGGAAAAAGAGTCGTCATCTAATAAACGACACAGACCAATAACTTTTGATAATGGTGAAAAAAAGGAATCTCCGGAGAAAAAATCAAGAAGTGGTGATGGGAACATCAAAATGTATACACCACCGTCTGGCAAATATAGTTCGAGACTTAGCAACTCCGGACGATTCACTGGTTCAAACCAAAGGGGCAGGGGTTATGGCAGGCGCGATTTTAGGAATAACGCGCCATATAGAAGACGGAATAACTATTAATAAACAAATACACTATAAAATTGGGATTAAAATAACCGTGGGGGGTTCATTCTTTTATCAATTCCATGCGTTGATTTTCTAACGCACAAATTATAACATGACTTGCAGAAAATATGACATTAACAGTAGATTTTGGTGGGAAAAACTAAATTATTTTTCGTTTCGCGTTTGCCATTTGGACATCGTTTGGTTGGTTTTTCTAGAAGTTTCTCTACATTCTGCGGAAGCGGTCGTAGTTATTTACAGGATTTTTCGGCGTGCTTGTAGCTGATTGAGACAAAGTTTGTAGTATTTCAATATTTTTTAGTCTAGGATACCGCCATTGGTGTCAACGTACTGGTAAGTTACACACATTGAATATTATTTACAATACGCTAATAGGAGATGCTGATATTATATTCTTCACGAAATTGTAAGTATTTTTATTTTATTATAGCAATTATTTGTACCTGACTCTCGATGTCTATCCAATATGGAGTATGTATTATATTTTCAACAATATTCGGTAAGTTACAATACTTTGATGTTGTTTTTGTTTTATTTTCCGAATTTATTCGTTAAGCTGCTGTTGGACATGGTTTCGAGTCTACATTCAGGCTTTGTCAGGTCAAGGAAGAATCATCATCAGGATTTTAATTCGAGATTGTCACACTTTGATTAATAAAAGCTCTAAAATTGATACAATTTTTTATTTTATCCCTATCTTATAAATACTGAAGGAAAACTGTCTTTTTTCACCTCTAATCAGATATAACATGGGAAGTACTTTCTAAATTGATTAAATATCTAAGCGCACGGTAGTGCGCCGGCCAAGTTCCACAGGCCGGCGCATGCCGTGCACTATATTTACACGAACCGTTTCGACCCACTTTTGACCCCCCTGTAGCTCAGTGTCTATTGCAAGTACAGAGATAAAATTTTACCTACGTAATCATATACTAGTACTAAATCAGTATGCCAAATTTCATCGATAAAGCTTCATTAGATCCTGAAATATGACCCTGTGAAAATAGCTAATTTTGGCACTGACTCACTGACAGGTAATCAAAACCTCTAGGCCACTTCCCATTGTTTTAGAATTATGAAATTTGGTACACAGGTTGTGTGTTATATGTAGATTAACAAAAAATTAAGAAATTTAAGAAATCGGTCAAGCGTGAGTTGCCTCAATTCTAAATATCGAATTTTTAATAAATTCGACCCACTTTTGACCCCCTGTAGCTCAGTGTCTATTGCAAGTACAGAGATAAAATTGTACCTACGTAATCATATACCAGTCCTAAAGCAGTATGCCAAATTTCATAGATAAAGCTTCAGTAGATCCTGAAATAAGACCCTGTGAAAATAGCTAATTTTGGCACTGACTCACTGACAGGTAATCAAAACCTTTATATAGGCGCTCAGCTCAGCACAATATAATACATAATAATGAAATATTAATAATATGAGTACATCTATCAATCGGTGATAAATGAAACTAAAAAATAAATATAGTTTAAAAAAAACTAAAAAGAAACCGCGTGGAAACTAATTTAACCTTTACAACCTTGGAAATCAATTTAATTTAAATTGTTTAAAATAAACAATAAATGGTATTATTGAAAAAAAAGCGTGGGGCGCTTCTCAAGAAGTGATATATGAAGCTCATCACGCTTTTTTTCACAAAAATGCCATTTATTGTTTGTTAATTTATTTTTAAATTAATATTGTGAAAAAAGTGTGGGGCGCTTCTTAAGAACTGATATATATATATATATATATATATATATATATATATATATATATAAGGGATATAAAATATTGTCATGTATACATAATGCACACTGTATAACTTAATTAAATAAAGCTTACCTAAAAAATCAGGTTTCTATTGTTATAAATTACTTTCGATAAATGGCGCTAGCGGTATAATTGAATCACGATATTGTTTTGTCTGCAGTATATATGAATGAAAGTCGATAAGGAATCGATGGTCATTTCTTTCTACACTTACGTCTTGATATCTTATATATGGTTACGATTACGATTAAATGGATCACTGATTTGACTTGCTAAAGGATTAATTTTGATATTGCTTATTGATTGATTACTTGTGTGTGTTAAAAGCACAAATTCACTCTATTTCTTTTCTACTATTCATTTACCAACGATGGAAATTGTACATCTTTCGGTGGTTGGCGGAGATATACCACATAGGGTAATTCCTATGCCATCAGATGGTAGCTGTATGTTTCATGCTGTAAGTTATGCATTGTACGGCTGTATAGTACGATTGTATGTACGATTTCTTGAAAAAAAGTATTGAAATCTCACCAAAAACATGCCTGTTAAAAAGGGGGCCAAGTTCCAATCGGCTAATTGTTTGCCTAAAAAAGGGGTGAAATCCAATCTAATGCCAAGTTTGGATGCACTTTGAAATCGATCATAATCATCTTCATCAACAGCATGATCCACTGGTAAACATTTGCCATTTCCAAGACTCGTCACCACACCCAGTCCTCTGCCTTCCACATCCAGCCACTACCCGTCACCTTATTCACGTCAACGGTCCATCTGGCCGAAATTCACTTTACCATACACCCAACTTAAAATATGGTATAGTTGTGAAAATACGTAGGTGCTTGGTTAAAATATCTAAAATTATAATACTTCTAAATTTGAACTTGGCAGGTTAATTTAATTATTTAAATTATATAAATATAAATAATTATATAACTAAATAATAAATTAATGATACAATTAATTAAGTGTTACGTACAGCACAAAAACCTGCCAAGTTCAAATTGAGAAGTATTATAATTTTAGATATTTTTAACCAAGCACCTACGTATTTTCACAACTATACCATATTTTAAGTTGGGTGTATGGTAAAGTGAATTTCGGCCAGATGGACCGTTGACGTGAATAAGGTGACGGGTAGTGGCTGGATGTGGAAGGCAGAGGACTGGGTGTGGTGACGAGTCTTGGGAATGGCAAATGTTTACCAGTGGATCATGCTGTTGATGAAGATGATTATGATCGATTTCAAAGTGCATCCAAACTTGGCATTAGATTGGATTTCACCCCTTTTTTAGGCAAACAATTAGCCGATTGGAACTTGGCCCCCTTTTTAACAGGCATGTTTTTGGTGAGTTAATATTACTCAGACAATAATCTAAAGTAATATTGTACAAAAACTTGTCAGTGAGTACTCAATAAATACAGCTTTTTGAGTACTCAGCAAAAAAATTAAGTACAATTGCATAGTACTGATTAATATTATTGACGTTGATATTAAATAGCAACCATCAATATACAAAAATCTTATCCAATATTACTTCTTGTCTAAAACTAGACATCATTAACCAATTTAACCCTTTGTTATATTAAAAGTATTCAAATAGAATTACTTAATGTCTAATCTGAGGTTGTTTAACCCTTAGCCACCTACCTACAAATTTTATTACACAGTCACCTACCTCCCGTCTGGGAGACACCTTTACTCTAAATCAAAGATTTTTGTAAATTAGGAGTTCAGTTAGAATGAAATATTTTTTTTACATATTTAAATGTTTTATTAAAAGAAAATAAACATAAAGTGATCAACTATACCTACTATAAACTCAACTATAATGAACAACACTTATACTTTGGCATTTTTAAGCCTTACTTACGTTGACTAAACTTAAGTTTTTAGAAATATAAAAATAAATGGAAATAGGAACTTCAAAGTATTTTTTTCTTATATTTTAACACTTACTAAATATAGACATGAAACATTTAGAGAGAAAAAATAAACAAAATTGCAGACTCTAAACCTATAGCTTTTCACGACAGTCAATGCACAGTTTGTTCGAGCACTCGAGGCAGATGGTCTCTTACATTCGAAACACATGTACTGGGTCCTGCGTTTCTTTTTAGGATCACAAGTTGAGCATGTTTTTCGTATTGTGAATACTTCTTCACCACGTTTGGTACTAGAAAGCACTGCTGGTTGACTGGTTACCTCGTCATAGTAAAGGATACGTCGAAGTGAAATTTTGATGTCACGCTGGAGATTCACATTTCGCTCGCGGCGCTCCATATGAGGTGTTGTAAGCTGTTTAGCTAGTCTACAATATTATGTTTCTTCTACATTATTATGTTGTAATGTTCTAGAACGAGAAACCTGTGGAGCTGATGACCAACGGTACCGGTTTTTACCAAAATAATTTGTTTTTCTCGGTCTTGACCGTATTTCAGATAATGGCACTTCATCTTCAGATGAATTCTGTGATTCGTCAAGCACATTGTGGGATGAAAGAGGTACCATACCTGCTTGTAAAGTAGTAAAGTAATTTCAGAACACGATCCACTGTATTCTTCCAGTACCTGTTGTACTTCAATTTCAGTATCGACATCGCTACACTCATCGTTCGGTATATTTTCTTCATCCGATATGTTATCGTCTAACCAGCGTTCAATAATAGAATCGTTTAAAGCCATTTTCACCTTAAGGCAATAAAAAAAGTTGTCACACAAACACCTACCATCCGTCTCTGAGACACTCGAAGAAAGATTTTTACTTACCAGGAAAAAATGGCGTCCATCTCCGACCTCAATAAGCGCTTGCGCAACACTGATCGGTGCGGGGGAAAGGTACAGGAACGCACAGGTTCGTAAGACGCATACACAGCAAAATATTCACGACTTTAAAATCGCTTCCGTCTGTGAGACGGGAGGTAGGTGGTTAAGGGTTAATAATAAAAAAAGGTTTTTAGTAAAAAAAATGTATTATTATAAAGTGCTCCAAAACAGGTTGCAATAAAACTATTTATCTCATATTATCAACAATATTACACATAATTCTATCCAATTCATAGCATGGGTCGTTATTAGCACTATCAGTTTGATTGTAATCTTCTAAAATTTCCGTCGGCACCTTGAAGTTTGATTCCATTTCATTTTGATCTGGTAAACTTTGAAGAGCATTTTGCAAAATATCCTGAACTTTATCTAAATGCTTCTGGAATCTGAAAATCAAAATATAATAACATATTAATAAGTTATATTTTGTCAGTTTTCCAAATTTGGTATTACTCCCAATTTTTATAAGCAACCAATAAAGTCTTATTCATAATAATGAGTCCTTTAATGGGCTTTTTGTGAATATATCTACTTAATTGTGATATTTAGGTTTTACTTATATTTGACAGTTATTATACTAATGACCTTTCTGCATACTTTATAATTATTGATATGAACATACCTCATAGCAGTTTCCACTCTTTGACGTTTTTGCAGTTCCATCATGACTCTTAATGTTTCTCTAGCCTGATGTGGTCTGAATTCATTTAGAAGATGATGAATGTGAATAAACAGAAGACTGAGATCTTCTACTTTCTCAGCTCGTTTTGGTGAATCGGGACAATGTACTAATAAATCTAAGAGATCAAGGAAATTCACCAGCAGTGAGTGATTTAGCTTCTTCAATTCCCTCCTTCTTTCAAAATGCATGGGGTAAAGACGACGGAAACCCTGTTTAAAATATATTTTACCAACACTAATTATTCATTAGAGTTCATTCATTAACATTAAAAATAATATCAATTGTTACCTGACTTTCCAAGGATCTGATAATTGTGTCGTCAGCATTGAATGTGTGGCCAAACATTTGATACGAATCATGGATAGGACGTGGTGGCAGGGGAGCCCTATTCCTTCGAACATTATCGTCAGTGTAAAAATTTATATACTGCAGTGGTGGAAGTGGCAAGGAGCTAACTTGAGCTGTTTCAGATGACATTTTAAAAGTGCCTTTTATAGCCTAAAACATAAATTAATGCACTTTATATGGATATGAATGTTGAAGCAAATAAAACTTATATTTCTTTGCTCTAGTTCACACAAGTTTTATTTAGTCATAAACTAACTTCAATTGAGAATTGACAGCTGCCAAGAAATCATTGACAGTCAAGTCTAGTGTTACCTAGTTAGCAGAAGTCAAATAATATATTTCTAGGGCTACTCGAACTTTTATTTCTATAAATAAAATATTGTAAAACATCTTCACGCTTATATAATGTTATTTATGCTAATTGAAGTAAGATGTGTAGTGTAGTTTCTTGAATGAGAAATATAACGTTTATTAATGATTAAAGAAATTTCTCTAAATCTCTAAGTGTGTATAGCACGCAGTCAAACATAAACAATTTTTGTAGTGAAATAGCAACCATCACATTTGTTTATGATTTATGGTTTTAATTTTATTGTAATCTGTAGTTTGTGGAATCTTGTTAGTGAATTGGTGATTAATCGGTGATAATCGTTACAATATTTAGTATTTTTGTGAGGAGAGAATATCTTTACTTTAAAAAATGGAGAATCCCAGTGGAACTTCTGGTCCAAGAGTAAGCGACAAACGTTTAGCACAAACGCAGGCAAAAGTAGATGAGGTCGTTGGTATTATGCGTGTCAATGTAGAAAAAGTTTTAGAACGAGATCAAAAACTCTCCGAACTAGACAACAGAGCTGATGCACTGCAGCATGGGGCTGCGCAATTTGAACAGCAAGCTGGTAAGCTTAAAAGGAAATATTGGTGGCAGAACCTGAAAATGATGTTAATCATTGGTGGTATAGGAGTCGTTTTGCTTATCATCATAATTGTTTGGGCTACTTCTGGAAGTGGAGGTTCAAGTCCTGCTCCCCCCGTCGTGCCACCCGTCACCGAAGCTCCATCTGGACGATAAATCTTCAAGTTCGATAAACAACAGGCTACACCCTAACTTCTTACTATATTTATATGAAAATACACAGAAATTGACTGATTACATTATATACAAAGGAAAATATTTTGTAGGTTTATCTTTACACTTACTCGTAATCAGTGTTTTTGAAATCTTATCAGATACTAAAACCTATATTTCACTACAATATAATTGTATTATATATATTTTAAAAACTATTTGAATGTTTATCATACATAGTAATATTTTTATAAGTCCTATACGTTTTAATGTGTCGCTTCTTAAAGTTGTCAGCGGTGTTATTGTGATATAAAGACCTTGGCCAATTTACTAAAAATATTCTTAAGACTATAATTACTCAAAATGGATGTTAACTAAGAATTTACAGAGCTTATTTACCGTTACAAAATTTTCTATAATATTTACATGACTATACTACATTATATAAAGGGATGGTGTTACTTTCTTGTTTATTAGCTAATGTGTTGTATTAATTTATATGAAGGAATTTGCTTTGTAAACTCTGCTTTTCAATTATTACTAAGCACAAATTGTATTAGTTATAGCACAAATCTACATAAACTTTACAGTAAATTTGATATAATTCTGTTATTTTTCGTTTATTCCATTTGCATTTCTTTACCGGGACCAATTCTGTCGACTGCACAATATGAGGTCCTCTGAAACCTTCAATGTTGAAAAGTAAGTTGATGTTGTATGTTTAATCTATATAACTTTATCTAGTTGTTTTGTATTATATGAAATAAAGATATTTATTCTTGAAAAACTTGTTTTTGTGTTGTTACTTCCTTCTCTTATTATTAAGGCAATTGCGAAACTGGAAAACAAGAGGTTGTTTGTGAAATTCTGTAATGATTTGTATTCATAAAATATCCAGTTAAGATGTTAATATTTCACATAATAAATTGCTCCTGGATAGTATTAATACCAATTTTATGTTAGCGGTTCTTTAAATACAATTAAATGCATCATAAAAAAAGAATGAACTATATCTGAACAAATTTCTGCAAAAGAGATGGACCTTCTAAATACCTAACAATGTCAAAAGATTATTTTAGTAGAAACATTAAAAAGCAACAATTATTTCAAAAGCTTTTTATTATGTACCTATTAATCTGGTTAGTGTAGGGTTTTTAAGATACAAAAATGCACAACAAGCTGATATATTTATAGTGTATGAAGAAAAACTACTGGAAGTCAAAGATTAAAAATTAGTTTTGACCTATTTTCAGCCCAGCGACAAATTTTATTATAAAAGTAATCTAGACAATAATTGTAAATAATTTAGTTATCTACAAAAGAAATTGATGCTAACTCGCCGTTTCTGAAGTATACTGACTCCATTAGCTGTAAAATATATTGTAGCATAGCTTTTTTATGTGATTTTCCTAGGGATCAATTGCGATCCAGTTTAATTTTAAAATATTGTAAAATAATGGAAATTTACAAATATTTAAAAGATAAAAGCGATGCAAATAAAAACAGTGGCTTTGGTCTGATTAGTAATCTTCATATTCATCCTCTTCGTAATTTTGGTTAAAGTTCATTGTGTCAATAGCAATGTATAGTATTTTATTTCTTTGAAATCAAAAGAATCCTCCATTGTGGGTGATTCAACGTTATCGTACATCCGGCCTTGACAATTTATTCGTGCCAAATAACAAAAGAGACAGACTTATTTGCAAGCACATTTTGCACTGAATTATGTGAAGTTTAATTGGCGCCAATGTTGACCAACATTCAACTCTACTCTACAGGGTCTTAGTGGTAGCCAAGTCTCACTTGAGATTAGTAATATACCCGAAAAATATATTGTGTGCAACAATTGAGGTCGGAGGAAGACAAGCTAATTGAACTGGTTTTATTTCTGTATTTTCAATAAAACGTGTTCAACGATGCTTATCTAAACAAGTATTATTTGCGAGCTCTTTACATAGCAAGAAGAAAGTGATGCCCTGCTTCTTGTTGAGTTTCATTACTCTGTTTAAAAAAAAATGTGTTTCCAACTTTTTGATAACTGCTGTTTTACCTCTCCTGTAAAATTTAAAAAAACAGTTAGTTTTCTTGAATAAAAAAGTATGTAGCTATATGATTTTATCACTTTACAAAAGTAGTTTAATTTTTTTAATATTGATTAATGGAATGGTTTTAAGGAGAAAATGTTTTTTTAGTTGGGTTTCGAACAGTAAGTAGGTATTTATACTCATAAGTCTACATGTTCAACAACAATAGTTTGTATTGTTGTTGAACATGTATTCTCATATAGAATTGGTCTATAACTATTATATGTTACAAATGTATCAGCAATCAACTCATCTTTTTGCATTGAAATAAAACGAAAAATAAATAAATTGACAGTATTTGTAAGAAATTTCTGTTAATGGTTTGGAATTGTCAAAAGTTCATTAAAAATACTGACAAAAGCTGGAATATCTTTTTTGTAGTTTTGATATTTTTCCCGCATTCATTATAGCCACCAAATACGACAGTAGCTCTGCAAACAAAATGTCGAACATGCTGAATGTATTTCTTTAATTTATGTTTTTAATTAACCACCACATTGCGGTGTAGTAACCAATTATTACTTATCAATTATGGATGTCGCATGACTATTGTTAATATCAATATTTTCCTTCTCAAAACTGTTGTAGTTGACAAAAGGGAGTTAATTTACATTCAGACTATTTTTCTATGTCACCTTAAATGCAGTAATATTATCATATGAATTGGCACAACAATACACGGTCAATGGGTACTTTTTTCATAGACTTTTTCCTGTTATTATTGAAGTTAAAACTTATATAGGTATATTTTATATTGTATCTAAGTTACAATTACCGGTAGAAAAATATTAAATTCATAAAACAATTCTAGAGATTTATATATTTGGGTTAGATAGCAACTTCCACAAGAATTCAACAATTTAAATTGTCATATCCCAGAAACGGTAACTCATGAAAAATTATTGCTTTATTAATTAAAAAAATATGATCTTTATTGACCGGATCAATAGGTATATCAATTAGTTTTAAAACTTTGCAAAAGATGTCACTGCTATTAATAATTATCAATTTTTTTACTTCATACATTTTGACATGTAACAAAAGAGACACATTCTACTGATTTTAAAATTTTCACTTAAATTATAAAAAAAACTTTATAGACGAGAAATCTGATCTCAGTTTTGGAACTTATATTTGTAGGTATACATATACCTATTGTACTTTTAACAAACATATTTCATTTGAACATAAATTTTAATGGTACTCCTTTAAAAATAAACACGTTATCATTAATTATATCACATATATTTGTACCTAGCTTATTAAATAACTTACTAATCCCTAGGAAACCCTATTTAGTTTGAAAAATAATGTGATTCAATTCAATTAATATTATTTTTTTATTTATTACTATACTCTTTAACGCAACCTCGTTTCTGTAGTCGGTAGTTCGCCTCGAAAAATGCTGCGAAGAAATCAAATACGTACCTTATCATTTATTATCTGCTTCTCCTCCAACTGGAATGTAAACAAATCTAATAATAGAAATTTTTAGTGACAACATAATACACTAAATACGACTATAAAATGTAGGAAGAATACTATAACGAAGTCACTGAACTATTAATTGAGCGTCTCGAAGTCGTAGACGTAGTTTTAATGGATCAGTCGGTCCATTGTTCCAGAATTCAATATGTTCCAAGTAACAATGCTCTATTTTTATAAACCTGTTTTAATATTTTTATTCTCTTAGCCGTTTTGTATGCTGTCATCACCATAATGACGACATGACGACATCCGTTAGTGTGAAGGCAAATTCGTTAATTATTCATTTGAAGCTGTGTCACCAGTGTGGGAGATACTTGATATATTTGTACTACATAACTCCTACTCTTAATAGAGTCGGCTCACATTGTACATTTAAGGCAGTCTTATAGAGCAATACGCGTAAAAAATACGTGGGTATGCAGAATGTCACCATTATAGGCAACTTCTTCCGTTATTTATCTTATATACCTTTATTTGTCTACCTAACTAATGATCCTACTCAATAGAATAAGTAACATATGTAATTATTGTTTATAACTTTATATGAAAACTAACAATAACATAATCGTGAAAACTATAATGTAAATATGTTCCACAGAGATATGACAATATAGATTTAGGTACTCTGCATAATTTATAATGTTGTCCAAACATTTGTAAATATTTTAATTCCTGGTAAGAATTATCGTCATGGTTTCTTGTTTTTAGGTCGGCTAATAATGTTCTGACTTAACAACTTATTGTCAATAATTAAAACCCATAACTTGGAAAGAATGCGGTATTAGTTTTGGTACCATTTAAAATCTAGATACTTCATTTATTGTATGAGAATAAAAAAAAATCAAATGAACAAAGTATTTAGTGTGCTAACAAAGGATCTTATTCGTATCAACAAAGGAATTAGTAGATGTTTTCCAATGCAGATATTTTCTTTATCTTCATAATTATTGTGTTATATGATTATAGGACGTGAAGAAATTATGTTGATGTTCATTTGTTATTTTATTTCAAACACCGTCAGAAACTGAACATTTTTTACATAAAAGTACTGAAACTTTTCTATTTATTTTTTATTCTTATCACTCCTCTCTAATCCCTACTAATATTATAAATACCTAAGTAACTCTGTCTGTCTGTCTGTTTAAGGCTTTCACGCCAAAACCACTGAACTGGTTGTAATGAAATTTGGTACAGAGATGGAGTTGACCTTGATAAAGAATATAGGATAGCTTTTATTCCAGACTTTTGAAAAATTCTCATGGACACGCGATATAACCGAACTCGACGCGGGCGAAGCAGCGGCCGGAAAGCTAGTTTAATATATGCAAATGTTGAATTAACCAGGTTAAAATTTAGCATAAAAAGACTCATGAAACGATTCCCTTAGCTTATAAAATTACACTCAATGTAACTGGGGCAAATGGCATTGTT